TGGGGTCGCTTCTCGATTGGATTTTGGCCGAACATATGGACCCCGAGGGCATGTATTTTGTGTTTGTCGCTAATGGGAGGCAATATACGTCTTATTTGGTTTTATTGTGACGAGGGTCAATCCGTTCCAGAGCGTTCTGGAACGCTCTGAGAAGGCCGCGACGCCCGTTCCATCTTCCAGAGCCGCCGGATCTCAGAGATTCTCGATTATCTTCGTCCGACATTGTCTTCGTGCTGGCTTCGTCTTGATGGGAGAGGAGGCAGGGGAGGGCTGCAGGGGGAGAAGGGGCGGTGGGCAGGCCACAGGAGCTGCGCAAGAGATGGCGAGGGAGGAGGTGGGCAGCTGCGCCCTCACGGGCACTGTGAAGGCCTTACGGCCGGTGCCGCCGACCCTGAAGGATGACGACGACGACGACGACGACGACGACCCGACGACGACGACGACGACGACGACGAGTTGATGACCCTGTCACAGGCTCGGGACATGTGGCGGGCGGTGGAGGGAGGAGGATGGCGAGGGAGGAGGGGGTCAGCTGCGTCCTCACGGGCACTGCTACGTTGACCAGCGCAACCCGTCGGTCGCTGGCAGTCGGTAATGTCGGATGTTCGGATCCTTGTCTATTTTGGGGCGCCTTCCCACTTCAAGGGTCGTCGAGCGGTGGTCCCTCTTCCCTCCTCGGCAGGGGCCGGCGGCAGCCCAATCTACTTCCAGCGCCGTCCTGCTTCGTGTTTCTGTCCTCGCCTTCCGCCCGACGGGCATTCGCCTCACGTATCTCCGCCCTGACCCGCAGCCTATAGTTATGGAATCGCTTCGCTCATTCCGCCGGCCCTGGAGCGCTATTTGGGGCCTTTGGGGGCCGTCTTGGGGGCTTCTTGGGGGCTTCTTGGGAGCGTCTTGGGGCTCCCTGGCGGCGTCTTGGGCTCCCCTGGGGCCTCTTGGGGGGCTCTTGGGGGCCCCTTGGGGCGGGAGGGGGGGTAGTCGATTGCAGCCCCCCCCTCGGAGGCCACGATCCTCGTGAGGGGTGGCGAAAAATAGCCTCCCCCCCGGGGATCGCCCGGGGATCAGCCGGGGATCGGCCGGGGTACTTTTCGCCCGGGGCCCCCCAGGGGCCGCCCCGCGCGCGCGAACTAGAAATATTGTTAAGTAGTTACCGGAGATCTTAGCACGCCTCTGGCCCGTTGGGCCGGCGAACTTGTTGCCGCCTGTTCGACGTCGGATCGCTGCACCATTTTTGTTTCAGACAGGACGCTACAGGCACTGCACTGCACGCACGGTATACGTCCAGCGTAAGAGGAGGGTGGGCAGCCGTGGCGCCCGGCTGCGGCGACGAGGACGCCCCCAGAGACGCCGACAGATACATCAAAACGTCCAAGATTACAGTGGGGGCCAGTGCCAAGAAGCACCCTGCGTGCCTCCAGGGTGCCCCAGGTTTGTTGGGCTTCGAGGGTTCTGCGATGGAGAGCGTGACGTTCCCACGCCAAGAATCTATGGACCCTCCCCTCTTCTGCTTTTCCCTCTCCTCCTGCTCCCACGGGGGGGAGGGGCAGCTGCGCCGGTGCGCGATCGGGGTCGCACGTGCGGGCCAGACCCAGCCGCAGCGTGCACCGTGTCTGCTGCCCCCTGCGCGGAGCCCAGGGCCCTCGGCGGACGGGCTTCCGGCGTCCGCATGCTGATCCTCCTTCCCCTCGAGGGCGTCAAAACTCGTCGATCCTCGATCTTCCTCCTCCTGTCCTCTCCGTAGCATCCTCGTCGTTCTGTGTCGTCCTCCTCTTTCTTCTCATCCGTCTTCCCCTCT